GATGCGATTGTTGTTTATGAATATTCTCCATCATTATCGATAGATTCCAGGACTCAAAACTCACCAACACAGAGGGCACACTGTGCAGTGGACTCACGCCGAGGTCCCGTCCTAAACTGTAAGTCTCTCTTGAACAGTCACCAAAAAATCACACGACTAAGAACTAATAAACTGAGATCCTTAAAAATCACCTAGTGGTGTTCTGGTAACGGGTTAAATTAACGAAGACTAACTCCCAGGAGCCTTCATGGGCTGCAGGTTTGAGGAAGTGGACGGGGATCGGTGTCAACGCTGAGTCCCAGACACCCCATCAGGGGCAGTAGTATCTCCTGCTCCTGTGCTGTCTGGGATATTTTAGGTTTTGTGGTTCACACACTCTGTCTCCTATCCGGAAATGACTCGACTCTGCTTTTGAAAACAGCCGTGAACACTGTGGAAGTGAGCAGGTGTGGGCTGGGCCTGGCCCCTGGGTGGAAGCTTTGACTTGGCTTCAGCTTTCCCCTTTTTATTTTATACCAACCACGAACTTGTGGATGTTGTTGCATCAGGAGAAACTGTGAAAACACACCAGGATGTTGGCATGTCTCATAGCCTTCAGCGAGATCCTACAAGGAGCAGATCTTGGACCGAGTGGTCCGCTAATAAGCAAAACTGAAACAGAGTGTGGCTCTGCTGAGCCCATTTCTGCCTGGGACCTGCCATCTACATTGCTGCAGATTCGTGGCAGCTGCCTTGTGATCTAATGATCAGAAGCTTTGAAGGACAGTGAATTCAACTCAAGGGTCAGAGAACGCTCTCGGGAAGGTCCAGGCAGGATTTTCGGCTTGTTAGGCCATGTGGTTGCTATAGCAACTCTCCCACCCAAGCGGGCAGGCCCCAGCACAAATGGGCGTGGCTGTTTCCACAGAACTTTATGGACACTGACATTGGAACTTCAGACACTTCCACAGGCACCAGGCACTCTTCTTCCCACCTTCCCCCAACCACTCAGAAATGCAAAGGCCATGTCCAGTTCCTGGGTCAACAGAAACAGGCAGCCGGGCAGATCCGGCCAGTCGGGCTCCAGTCTGTGTCCTGGATAAGATCAGCACACAGGATGTCCCCTGTGAAAGGCCGTCGCAGACTCTTCCCACGGGTTTCCCTCCCTCCATCTCTGGCCTCGGGTTGAGACAGTGGGGTCTCACTCCCTGCTCCGGCAGGAGCCGGGTGCAGCCACCAGACACTGGCTCTGGGGTGCTGGAGTTGGGTCTCAGACGGTGAGATCAGGCCAGAGACCAGGGTGCTCATGACGCACCTAGTGCCCAGTGCAGTGCGCATCCACATAGCTACACACACACTTGGTGAATGAATGAAGACAGAGGCATAAAACTCAGGCTTCTTCACCCATCTGCCACATGCATCCAAGAAAACAAAATCGACACCAGATAAACCAAGGCACGGTGTGTCTCAGAGGTGGGCGCGGCTCAGCGTGCACGAGGCTCTGGGTCCCAGCCAGCAGCAGAACAGAGAAACAAAGAACGTGAACAGTATCCCCCTGGGAACTCCAGGTCACAGCCTCGTGGAGGCAAGGAAATGGGGGTCCCCTAGAGAGAGGGGTGCCTTTGACTGCCTTTGGCTTCCCTTAAAGATCAAAGAGATCTTGGGGGGGGAGGGAGAGCGAGGAAGGGTATGAAAGGCCCTGTGCACGCGCCCTGGGTCTCTCGGGCTGGACCCTGCAGCACAGCATGCTCCCGCGACGATCTCATTTCCATCCTGACCCACCCTTTAAAGCCAAGGTCTTCATTAACATCAACTAGAGAACCGGACCAATCACATATTTCCCATCTGCAAAGTGCACATGGGGGCCACTTGCTCAAGACGGTGCTAGGAGATCACCCGCCAGGCAGGGGCGTGGGATCCTGTGCCCTGCTGAGGTGGCCACCACGCCAGCCCCTGAGAGAGCAGGAGGAGCGGAGGTGACCTCCTGACGGCTGTCCGTCATCAGCGGCTTGCTGTAGAAACCCTACGTTCTCACCTTAACGAGACACCCGCTGACCCCGCTGCTCCGGGGCGGCATCTCTACCCTAGATATCATCACGCCAGGGAACACTCGAGTCTGCTGCTCTGAGCAATGCGTCTTAAATTTTATTTTTCATGTACAGTTTCAGATTATACAAAACATAGAAAATGGACTATTTTAAAGGCACAGTAAGCAGCAAGTCTCTACTGCCCTAAATTCACATGTGTCCCCAAAGCAAGCTTCTTCAGTAGCCTCTCAGCCTTCCCCTGGGACCTCCCCATCACCGGCGCCTTCCCATGTACAAAATGGCCGAGTTGCTCTTTGGTGAGTAACCTGTAAATCACTAACGAGTTTAGTGATTCACTCCCCACGCAGGAGGCCGCCGCACTGGGTCTTCACCGTGGGGTACTGCGGAGCATCCTGGGGTCAGCCTGGCCACACACAGGCACGACCCCGCGGCAGGGGGCGGGCGCAGGGGGCCCCACTCTCCTGCATTCAGACGTCCCGCAGGGTGACGCGCCAAGCAAGCTCCAAACTCGTTTGAACAGAGACCCAAAATAATTTTAATGCAAATAACAAAACAAGTTAGTCTGTCCCCATCACGTGCCCCCCATGAAAGAATTACAGTACTTTATAAAAATGTCATAAGATGCGCAGGCTACATTCCTTCCAACACAGTGGCAGATTTGGTCCTGACATTGGCTTCTTGGATGTCCAGCTAATTTGGTGGTGGTTCTCGAGCCAATGACGATGAGCACCAGGTGGGTCTGTCTACCTGCGGGAGGACGAGGGGCAGCCGCCCCACCCTCCCGACTTCCCACACGCCTCACCACAGTCGTGTCACAGATGGAGGGACCCAGTGCAGCCCGCTGGGAGACCCCGGGCTGCTCCAGATCAGGGGTGACAGATACTCTGTGGCCCCAGAGTTATTTTGTGGGGGGAGTTCGTGCCTTGCATGGGGGTTGGGCTTTCCACAGCTCTGGTTCTAAGGAGTTTTGATTGTTTCTATTGTGAATATCAGAAAGTTCTAGAAAAGCCACCTGGGGAGAAAGCCTAGGGGAGGGCGCCCCAGACCCAGCTTCCTCCTACAGCATCCTGCCGACCCCAGGGATGCGGCTGACGTCCTTGCCCACAGTGAGCCTGGTGACCCTTTTCCATGGGGTCAGGAGGGGACCATCGTCCTGTCTCTGGCCCGTGGCACTGGGCTGACGGTGACCCCTCTACAGAGAGTGGGTCCTGCTTCAGAGTCGGCAAACTCCACACGGGAGCCCCCCCCCCCCCCGGGCTGGAACACGGAAAACACTTAATACAACTGTGGAAACCAGCGAATGAGTGAAGAGACACTGCTCTGCCCTGAAGGGGCCTTGGTGACCCTGAAAGTACTCACACCGGACGGACGTCTCCCTAGCTCCACCTCCGCTGGGCTGATGGCAGACCACCCGGTCAGGGCCAAGGTATTTAAACAGCCCACGATCCCCTACGCCATCCCAGGGTCACCTCCCCGGGGGGATGCTCAAACACAAGAGGAGAAGGGTGCTGAGGTACGAGGTCGGGCTCCTGACGACCCCAGGACGCTCTCGGAATCACCAGGAGTGCTCACTCCCCGGCCCCTGCCCTGGAAGCCTGAGGACTATGGCCCTGGGGGATGCGCCTCTGCTTGCTGGCTGGGGACCCAGGACCCTCCATGGAAGTGTCCTCTGGCCACAACGCAGACAAGTACTGGGCAGAGCCCCACGTGTCGGAGTCAAGTGGAGCTATGTTTAGAGGGAGCTGAACGCCCGGAGCTGCCAGGACAGGTGGGCACCAAGCCCGCTCCTGCCCGGGCCTCCGCCCGACCGCTCGGTGGCGTCTGCCGCTCCATCACGGCTTGTAACTAGCTCTGACTGGTTTCTAGTCTTTCTTCTCCACCTGATGACGACCCTGTGAGGATGCAGGTTGTCTAGACAGGGTCCCCTGCGCCTGCCACGTGGCAAGCATGCCGTCACTTATGTTGACGGATGAATGGATGAAGGACCGAACAGTGGCAGGTCCTCTGGGCTCCAGGACAGGGGTCAGGGAGGCTCGCCAGCCTCAGAATGCAGGACAGGAAGGGAGGCTGGGGAGGAGGCTGCACAGCCTCTGGAGGTGTCAGGGCCTGGGAGAGGAGCTCGGTGGCCCAGAGTGAGAACCAAGAGGGGCCGGGGGCTGAGGTCTGGCCTCAGTGGGGCCATCTGCACATGACCAGGCCACTGACCTGTCCAAGACGGCTCTGCCACCGGCTCCGGGAGGTGGTCCCCAGCTCTAAGCCATCTAAGCATCTCCTGGGAGCCCACTAGAAATGCAGCTCGCAGGCCGTCTGCTGGACGCTGGCTCTGCGGGTCTGGGGGCGTCCACAGTCTGCATCTGAAGATGCCCTAAGGAACTTTTTGCAGCGATTCTTTGCCTCCATCTGACACAGGTTACGGAGCCCTGTCCCTGACGCAGGCAGAGATGCTGTCAGCAGCTCTGGGCTGTGGCCCAGGCTGCTGCAGGAGGCGGGGGCCCGGCTCACTACAGACAGAACGCAGCCCTGATGCCGGTTCTCACCCGGGGCTCGGGCCCGACGTGAAGGTCACCCCTCGCCTGGGCCCTTTTGGGAGGAAGCTGAGGAGGAGCCCGCCAACCCTGCAGGAAGCGTGTCCCCAGGGACTGGCTGCCTCCTCCCTCACGACCCCCCACCCTGCCCCGCTTAAGAAGCAGCCGCCTGCCTTTCCTGGTCTCCGCGGCTGGATGGGCCTTTGTCTTGCTCAGGCTTTTGGGTGGGCAGCAGTTCTGAATGCCAGCCGGAATGCCAGTCTCCTCTCTCATCCCAAGAATGCAAAAACGCTTCTCTCTCCCTCTCTCTCTCTTTTTTCTTTTTTTTTTTTTTGGCTTTTAAAGGAAACAATATGTTTGCTAGAAAAACCACAAAAAAACGATTATATACAAAACGGTTATCTGAGTGTGGACTCTGAGGTGCAGGGAGGGTGGCGGGCGCCTGGAGCTACTTGCGCTTCCTCAGTATCAGGTACATGATGCCGCTGATGAAGGTGAAGGCGAAGGCCACCCAGGCCAGGATGAAGGCGTAGCCGTACCTGCCCTCCGACGTCACGGAGTAGTGATCCGGGTTGCTCTCGTGAAGGTCCTGGCGCCGGTCCGTGTAGATGGCAGCCGCGATCATCACACACAGACCTGCCAGAAAGAAAGCGGGGGCTCGATGGGGAGCCGCGGGAGCTGCGCCCAAGACGGATGAGCCACATCCCCAGCCCTTTCCATATTTTTATTTCAACAGGGTCTTGCTCAGTTGCTGAGGCCGGCCTTGAGCTTGCGATCCTCCTGCCTCAGCCTCCTGAATGCGCCACCTGCCTGGCTCACAGCAGAATATTGCCGTCTACCCTGAAGCCACATTGCTTACTAGCTGAAACCTGTTTTGTGTGGGCAGCCAAGAACCCTGTCCAGAGGACACGTCACTCTTGGTCTATGCCAGAGGTCAGCAAACTTGTCCTACAAAGGACCAAGAAGTAAATAGTTTAGGCTTTCAAGGGCTAGAGGAGTCGCCACTGCTCGACTCTGGCCGGAGCGTGATGGCAGCCAGGGAGAGCACGTTAAAAAATGGGAGTGGCTGTGTTCCAATAAAACTTTATTTACACAAACACAGGGCAGGCCAGATTATTTGTCACCCCAGTTTACTAGCTAAAGTTTATGGACACAATTGTATGTGACCCTAGTTCTGGCCAGAGAAAATTCTTCAATGAAAAATATTAGCCCCTGAAAAGAGATGAAGGAGGAAAAAGCATATTTTAATTGTTTTCCTTCTCCCCTGCTAAATGCTTTAGATGCTATTAGATCAGGATGAAATGTCTGGACTTACAGTAGCCCTTCTGGGGTCATGAAGAGGCTGTCACTCACAGTCTGAAGATGACAGACTAGAAGGATGGGAAGAGATGGGGTGCTTGATGCTGTGAGCCCTCAAACCAGCTCTGGCACTTTCAACCTACAGGCTACTTGTTATGTAAAAGCAGTGACTATCTTTATGGCTAAAGTCATTGATAATTGGATTTTCTCTCAGGCACAGCCACAGTATTGTAGCTGAACACTTGATGACATTCACAGAGGTCAGTGCCAACAGGAGGCTAAGCTCCCTGATTGTCTTAGGACCCCGCCCTGGTCCAGCCAGGCTGTCTTTGTGGGACTGTCCATCCAGGGGCCCAGACTCCTCTGGGCAGCTTATAACAACGAATAGTCACGTCGTGGAGTGGACGTCTTCATCCACTTTCTGTCTTGCTAAACTTCATAGGTACAAAAAGTGCTGTGCCACCTCCACCTTCTCTAAGTTCCTTCAGGACCGGGACCATGCGGTCATCTCTTACCTCCAGCCGGCAGCAGGGGCTTGGCCCAAGGTGGGCACTTCTGCCACCGACCAGCCGAAACTCTGCTGATGGCTCCCGCCAGCTTAGGATGAAGACCCCAAGTGCTGTCCGTGGCCTACAGGACCCCACGGGTCTGGACCCCCGCTGGCCCACCTCCCACACCTCCCCTCGCCACGGGCCGGCTCTTGGCTCCTGGCCACGCTGCTCCCCGGCCAGCGTGCTGCCCCCTCCCCGCTGCCCCAACACAGCACAGGGGTGACAGCGGCTCCTGCACCCTGACAGGTCCCCGCTCAGCTCAGTGCCTTTGGGGGGCCTTCCCTGACCCCAACTGACCACGCTCTCAATACACACTGCCGCGGGGACCGGAGGGGACCGCTGCCCGCCCTCACTCACATGACAGCAGCTGGATGATGGAGGTCAGCACGAACCTCGCTCCCTGCTTGAGGCGGAAGAGCTGGAGCAGGAAGATGAAGAAGGCCATGCAGCAGAGGGCGGTGGACAGGATCATGGTGGCCTGCACCGCCTGCAGCGTCGCGTAGCCTGCGGGCAGAGGCCGAGGGCCAGGCTGAGGACGGACCCACAGCCACCAAGAGAGCCGCAGAGCCGCCTCACAGGATGCGCCTGGGATCTGGGCCCAGGGGCAGCAAGGAGCCCCCCGACCCCTCCCCGACAGCCACACACACCCCTGACGGGAGGGCCCTGACGCCCTTATCTGGAAGGTGGAGGAGGAGCCCCCTCTGCAGGCCCCGGGCTGGGGCACGGCTCCCACATGCGTGGCTCGCAGGGGGCTTAAAGTGCTCGTCACATCACCCTGGAAGATGCGATTCAAGAGGCCAGGCTGGGGCCCGGGAGGGTGCGCTTCGGGCCCATGGGACTGCGTAACGAGCTCCTGACAGCGCTCCGAGGACCCCAGTGTGCCCCCAAGGCACACGTGAGAGGATGAGCATCGTAATCCCCACGTGGGAAAAGAGGGGATTCCTTTCCTTGAGACCAGCTTTAACAGGGTGAGAGGTTCCAGTGCAGGCAGGACAGGCCTCGGGGACAGACAGAGTCCTGCTGGAGGGGGACAGCAGGGTTGAGCACCGTGGACCCAACAACCACAGGTGGAGAATATTCAAGGAAAAACAACTAGAGAGCGTCAGAGAGCCAGCCTTGGCTCTGCCTTGCCCTGGCACTACGCAGAGCCCACACCAACGAGGTGACACGCGGGCACTGACTCAGGTCTCTCTAGGAATCTGGAGGTGACCTGAAGCGCAGGAGGCCATATGCAGGTGACATCTCTGCAGACACGTGCCACTTTATAGAAGGGACCTGGGCATCTGCAAGCCATGCTGTGCTCAAGGGGTCCGGGCCCCAGTCCCCTGCAGGTACAAGGGATCTGGGTTGGGGCTGGGTTTTATTGTGGTTTGAACCAGAAAGAACCAGACACCGTCTCAGAGCTTCCGGAAGGGAGGGTGTCTGGCCCGTTGGATTCTCCTTGGTTTTCAGGGCGGCCTTTTCCTCCTCCTGTGGGAGTGATGCTGGCTGGTTCAGGGGCAGAGACAGAAAGTGCCCTGGATGGTACGTCTCCGTGAAGACAAAGTGGGCCCTCAGAAAGCAGGGGCCAGACCGTGCAGCCCGCAGGCTCGCGGACCTTATTCTCTGTTCTGTTTCGGTTTGGGGTTCTTGTTCTTTTTGACCGCTCTTTACAAATGGAAGAGCCCATCTCAGCTCTGAGGGCCCCTCCAAAACCGGCCTCAGCTGAGCTTGGCCAGCAGTTCCCTGACCACTGCCTTAGGGACAACCACCAGCAAGCGGTCCCACAGGCTGTGACAGACCAGCAAGTGACAGAGGCTCGCTTGGGACGTGGGCACACACTGGCCACAGCTGGGTTTGCCAGGTAGGAAGAATGGCGGTCCCTGGGCTGAGGCTCAGCGTGGCAAACAGTGGGGGAGAGGTGGCGCTGATGGCTCCGTGTGCTTGGCTGTTGGTCATGGTCATGTCTAGAAGGAATCCTGGCTCCACCGACTGCTTCTGGCTGGGCCACTTCCGGCCACACAACTGTTCTCTGCCTCAGTTTCCCTATGGTTCCCGCCTGGCGAGGCCGTGCATAAAGGGCCCAGCCCCTGCTCAGGGTGGAGCTCAGGGAACCCGCCTGCCACTGCTATCTCTGGCGCTGGGATGGGAACGTGGATGCTGTCCCCAGGCAAGCACTTCACCACGGAGCCCCAGCCCCAGCCCTTGCTGCTGCTCTCCAGTGCGCACTGAGACCCTGGGACCCAGAGAGAAGCACCCTCTGCTCCCCAAACCAGAGATCAGTTGTCGGCACCAAAAGAGGGTGCCCAGGTGAACCCGAGTGTGGGTAGACAGTGACTGATGTTAGGCGCAAGACTGTCTCATGTAATACGTGGGACATGCTCATAAGAAAAAATGATTCACTGTTTATCTGAAACACCGAGGTAACAGGGCGTCCGTATTTTGTCAGATACGAGGGATCCCAAAGTGCACCTTGACTTGGTTCTACAGGGACAGCTGCCCTTCACAATGAGAGACAGCGGCTGGGGTGCAGCTCAGTGCTGGGGGGTATGCTTCGTACGCACCAGGGCCTGGATTCAATCCCAACACCACAAAACTAAATTTAAAAATGTAGTTTTCTGTATCTCCAAAGCCCTTTTTCATATTTGACCTCATTTAAACGGGGACATGGAGCGGGTGTGGTGGCCCGCCCCTGTTAGCTCAGTGACAGGGAGGGGGCTGAGGCAGCAGGATCACAAGTTCAAGGTGAGCCTCAGCAACTTGGCAAGACCTTGTCTCAAAATACAAAATAAAAAGGCCCAGGATGTAGCTCAGGGGTGGAGTCCCCGAGTTTCATCCCATACGTACGCAGAGGTGAGGGTGGCTGAGGGCACTGGGGTCCTCAAAGCACTGGTGACCTGCCCAAGGGGCAGAAGTGCTCTGGGTTTCTGCCACAGTGGGTGGCTGCGACAGGGGACGTGGCCAGGCGTGGACAAGGAAGAGGCAGAGGGGACCCAGAGGGGCTGAGGCTGTGGAAGGGGAAGGCGGGAAGCAGAAGAGGTGAGGCCCAGATCAGCTGGTCGGGTCCTCCTCCCCCTGTGCTGGGCGCAGGCAGACCCCTTGACCCGCCTCCGCAGGGGCACAGGTTCCTCTCCACTGTGCCTCCTCGGCCAGCTCCCACCATCCACGCTCACCTTGAAAGTTGTCACCGATTTCCGTACAGTTGGTGCCATTTGTGCACACTCTCCAGACATCGGCGTAGAAACCTTCTCCCACCCACCAGGCCTGCAGCGAGAAAGGGAAACGGGCGGTTAGAGAGGCAGACACCGGCGCCTCCTGGCAGGTCCTACTAGGACAGCTGGCAACGTCTGAGGACATTTTTAATGGTCACAAGTAAGGGCAGAGGTGCTGCTGGCATCCAGACAGAGGCCGGGATGTTGCTAAGCCAGGCACAACACACAGGAAAGCCCCAGACGACAGCAGTGCTGAAGGGAGAGCCTGGTCCGCAGGAGACCCGAATTCCCAGGACCTCTGCAAAGGCTCAGCAGGGCCGCGTGGGAATCGGAGGAGAGGACAGGGTCGTGTCCTCCAGGCCCTGCCCCAATCAAACCTGAACATGGATGCTCCAGAAGCCCCATGCTGAGGCCAGAGTCTCCATGCCTGGGCTCAGGGCCGCGGGGCAGGGAGGACGCCTCCAAACTGTCCAAACTGCAATCAAGCCAACGGAGGGCACCGGGTCCTGCCACTGTTGACCCGGGGCTCCAAGCGGGTGGGGAGGGGACTTACGTTGTCGATGGTGGCCACAAACAGCAGGGCTGCGGAGGTGATGTGGAAGATGATGATGAAGGCAAGGAGCACCAACATGGTGGCGGGGCAGGGCAGGCGGGCGGCCAAGGGTCACGGCGAAGCCCAAGCAGGGTGCGCTAAGGAGGGGGGACAGATTCAGATTTGTCGTGATGCAATAAAGTTCAGTGGGGTCTTAGGACAATCAAGCCAGTTCTGTCATCTTTCCTCGCCCGGGGTACACTGGACCAAAGGTGGCAGGAGGAGCTGTCCCCTGTTAGACCCAGCAGCCACAGGGAGGCAGGGACCAATCGGAATCTCTAACTCTGAACGGTGTTTCAGCTGCGGCTCCTCAGCCGACTGCGGGCACAGATCAGGAAGGAGGGGCTCTGCGTGTTAAAACGCTGCTCCCCATCCCTCCATCCCAGAAACTCGGTGAGCACCCACTCCCACAGGCCCTGCTAATGAAAAAGCAAAATGACCACGGTAGGAAAATAGTTCTTGATGCTCTGGCCGCTTCTGAAATCAGTCCCCACTCAGACATCCCTCCTCTTAATACCATTTGAACAACATTGGCCCGTAACATACAAAAACACTGTGCGACCCACAGCTGCCATTTCTCTTCCCGCTCTCTGAGCGCACAAGGAGACTACATTTCCCAGACTCCTTTGCAGCTAGGTTGGGGCCAAAGGTCATTTCTGTGGGAAGCCTCTGTGCTCCCTCCCCCAGGGAGTAGCAGGGGGCAGCGCAGCTGTGGCATGCTGAAGCCTCACACCCTGGACAGGGACTGCAGCTGAGAAATAAGCCTTTGACTGTGAAGCCACTGAGATCCCAGGGTGGTTTTTTTTTTTTTTTTTTTTTTGATTCTGGTAAAGACAATCTGAATAATATACAACAGGAAGTGATTGCAAAACGAAGTTGGAGATCTGCCAAAAGAACTCAGGCTGCTCTCAACCGACGGGCGACACTGGATCCTTCTCAAAGGGGACCAAAGGCGGTAACATGTGAGAACTTGTTGGAGCTGGGCATTAAAAGACGGGAAAAATAAACCTAGATGACGTGGGGAGAGAGCATTGAAAAGAACGATTTCCATATCAGGGGGTTAAAAGTCCCACTGGGGAATGTTGACGAAGTCTGAACAGTTTTACAAACATGACCACCGGCTTGGTCAGCAAAAGCCAAATGTCAAGTGAAGATGTCACATCAACCCCTACAATCAACACTGGAGTCATTCTTCTTTCATTCCTGTAATTTGTAATCAGATTCTATTATCAAATCTTATAGAACATAAAATTAATTAAAAATAGTTAAAAATCAGACCTTGCTTTGACTATGATAAAATTTTTGCACAATTTTAAATGGAATAAAACATATGTGCATGTACACACACATTTTTTTTGCCCACCACTTGTCTAAACCAAACCTGTTTCTCTAAATACTTCAGTGCAGTTCTCAAAAGCAAGTCCAATAAAACTAATTATAACAAATTAAAAAAAAAAAAAACAAGTCCAGGGGCTGGGATCGTGGCTCAGTGGTGGAGCACTTGCCTCCCATGTGGATTCGATCCACATAAAAATAAATAAAAATGAAGGTTCATCAACAACTAAAAATAAAAAAAAAAATAAAAGCAAGTCCATTTTCTCAGATGGCCACAGTACGATGACCACAACTATGAAATTTAACATGATACAATGCTGTTACCTCACTTGCAGTCTATTCAGACTTCTCTAATTATCCCAATAATATTTCATGTAGCTTCTTTTCCTGGCCCAGGATCCAGTCTAAGATGGTGGGTTGCATTTTGCCATCAAGACTCTTTAGTCTCCTTTAGGCTGGAATGGTACCTTTCTTTTCTTCTCATGACAGTGATAGAAGACTGCTGACCATTGTCATGGAAAATGCCTGGTGAACGTGCCTTTGAGGTGTCCCCACCGTCCGTCTGTCGGGTTGTTTTCCTGGCAGGACAGACACTTCATAGGCAATGCCTCCTGTGTACCCCACTGGGAGGCATGGTGTCAGACGGTGCCATTATTGATGGTGCCTACTTTGGTTGGTTGTGATCACTCATTGCACATTTTCTTTGTAGTTCAACAGTCATTTCAGGGGGAGATAATTTTTATTGTGGTAAAACACACACATTATAAAACCTGCCCTTAGTGATGCTTAGTACATCAATCACCCCATCCTGTTCTAGAACATTCATCATCCTAACGGAAACTTTGCACCTTTTAAGCAGTCATTCCTCCTCTTCCCCTCCCCACAACCCGGCATCCATGATCTGCTTTCTGTCTGTAAGGATCTGCCTGCTGTGGACATGTCATATAAATGGAATCACGATATGTGGCCTCTTCTCTCATTCAGCATGTTTCAGGGTTCATGCCTGTTGAAGGACGGGGAGCTCTTCTGAGATCACGCAGAGACCCTCTCCATGGAACTTTCATTTCCAAATCAGGATCATTTAAGACGGCCCTCCTCTGGCTACCTTTCTCTCCCTTCTCCAGTGAACATGCAGGAACCACTGCGGGAGCCCCCCGACCGCCTCTCTGCCAGCTCTTCCCTCGGACCATGACCACTCTCCCTCTGTTACCCCCTCCTGGAACTCACTGAGGCTCCTGGACTCACACAGGGTCTACTCCTGGAGACCCAGGATTTTCCAGAATGAGCCAGGAGCTACGTGGCTGCCCCTCAGTCTGGGAGGCCCCAGCAATGCTGTGCATCACCAGTTGGAAGGACCCAATGAGCCAGCTCAGAGATTCTTCCAATTCTTTTCAAATGGACAAATTCCCCTTTGTTCAGGCCTGCGTCATTCCCAGTTGCCATCGTATGCTGCCTCCAAATAGATGCATTTCTGACCCTTGGAAAAAAACTCACGAACCATCTAAAGGCCATGTCACTTAAATATGGGCTGGAATGTCAAAAGGCCAAGTTCTTCTGGCCGTAAACTCCTGGATGATGATAGCTTTACACATTGTCCAGCTTAGACAACACAAAAGCATATAGACATAAAACCAAAACTTTCTAGAAAAGGAAAAAAGGCTCTAACCCCCTCTTTCCCCAAGCATGAAATCCAAATGTTACAAGGATTATCTTGAATGGTGCACTGATAGGGAGCATTCGACCACATGATGAGAAAGTCCCCTCCAATGCTCCTGACTACACCAAGAAACAGGGCTAGTCTGTCTGTCACACCAATTTTGTTTTTTCAAAAGAAAAGACAGAGCTTTGTTAGACCATAATTTGTAACTAGAATTTAATAACATTTTTGAGTTTATTATATTTATTTTCAAGGTTCTTTCTTTTTATAGTAATAGATTTATAGTAATGATATAAAGTGACACTTCAAAACAATTTTATTCAAGTTTTAAAGTGAGTCATTAAAGAAAAATATTATGTTAATAAAAAGAGGGGGACCTCAGTGTTAGCAAAAACCCTGAGGGTGGATCTCAAATGCTTGATGCCTGGGAGGTACTGCCTTAACTTAACCCCTGGGAATGATCTTGGTTGAAAATCTCAGACATCAGGAATAGGTTCCTGCAGAGAAAGGGGTAAGTTCTTATTAGAGGTCAAGTAAGGTCTGAGTCCAGCATAAGGGAAGGGCTGGGGTCCGTATATGGAAGGGTGACTTGAGACTGTTTTGGACCATTGGGTGCCCGCGAAAATTAGGGCACCGAGAAGTAGATGTCACCCACTTAGAATTCTCCCAGGATCACATCTGGAATTCAGAGCTCCAGTAAACAGATCAATAAATAAACAAACACAAAGAGTCGGGGTGCGGATCAGTGACAGAACTGTAAACCCAAGGACACTGCTGGTGACCTGACCCGAAACTTCGGGAGAAATCACTTATAAATTGAGAAAACCCCACCAGTCTTTAAGAGGGAATAAAAGTGGCTCTTTACTCCTGCATCTCGATGCAGAGTGAGTCTCCTCGCTCCACCACCACCCCTGGCCAGTCCCCCGTCCCTTCCTCGAGGTCACCGCCCTCCAGTTTCCCACGCAGCCTTCCAGAGACCCTCGTTAGGGGGAACATTTAATTCCCTCCCCCTGCTGTTTCCGCGTGAAGGGAGCAGCACCGGAGTAACACTTCCGCCTCATGCTCCGCCCCTCACCCACTCCGTCGCTCCTGATTGGAGGAGACATCCACGGTCCGCTTTCTGGATTGGCGGAGCTCATCCATTAGGGTGCCCAGCCGCCCTCTGGGCCCTGGCCTCCTGAGGTTGACCTCTAACCCCATCCTGCCTCCTTTCTCAGCTGATGACAACCCCACAGAGACGGGACGGTCCACCGCGTTCTTGGAATGGCTGCCTGGTGTTCTGCTGTGGGGCTGTGCCCGCTCCCCTGCCCTGGCTCCCCGTGGATGCCATTTAGTTCTGCCACCTGCCCAGTGAGCGTCCTCGTTCCCCCCCCCCACCACTGGGTTAGAGCACCCCCGGGCAGACCCCTGGGCGGGGGAGCGGGAGCCGAGTCCGTGCATGTAAGCTATTTTACTCTGAAATTTCAATTTCATATAGAGCATCCAGGACCCCATCAGTGCCACCTCAGCTGACCTTTGGAGGTCTTCAGGGGGCACCAAGTCCCGGGCCAGCTCACACACGACATGGGCGGTGGGTGGAGGAGCCTGGATGTCCTGATCCTTAACATCCTCTGGTTTCCTCGGAGGTGTGATTCTGGCCTCTAGAAACCAGCCTGTGCCATTGCCATGGCTTGTCCCAGCAATGCTGTCCCCTTGCTACAGCACCCCCACAGCACACCCTGTCCTCTCTGGAGACCCCGGGCTCCATGTTGGATGGGGACGGCCCACTGAACCCAGGGTGACATCGGAATTACTCCTTGACCTTCAAACTCATCTTCCCTTCAACGGACATAATACTGAATTCTGGTCCCCCCCACCACACACACCCCTGTTTCCTGAAGGCTTCAGTGCTCTCCCACTGTAGCCAGATTGGCCATGTCCCTTGGGCAGTCTCTCCTTTTCCCCTCAGCTCACTCTCTCACGTTGTCTGGGTCTCATTTCAAACATCCCTCCCAAGAAAAGAGCCTCTGAGCACCAACGGGAAGCTACCACTCCTCCCTCCAGCACC